CAAGCAGGGGGAGTGGGAGAGGGAGATGCAGGCTTCCCGCTGAGCAGAGAGCCTGATGTGGGGTCCGATTCCAGGATGCTGGGATCATGAGCTGAGCTGAAGGCAGATGCTTAATGACTGAGCCACCCAGGTGCCCCCTTAAGTTTTTTTTCTTACCCAATTTTTATTTTACGATCAAAAGCAAAATGTCCACTGGGGATAGCCAATCTGTTATTAAATTAAGCATTAGAGGGGCTCCTGGCTGGCTCAGTCAGAAGAACATGCGACTCTTGATCTCAGGGATATGAGTTCAAGCCCCACGTTGGATGTACAGATTAGTTTTAAAAAAATCTCAAAAAAATAAGAGGTGCCTGGGTGGCTCAGTCGGTTGGGCATCTGGCTCTTGATTTTGGCTCAGGTCATGATCTCAGAGTCCTGGGATCGAGCCGGAGTCAGGCTCCCTGATCAGCGAGTAGTCTGCTTGTTTCCCTCGCCCTCTGCCCTTCCCCCCGCTTATGCTCTCTTTCTCAAATAAACCTTTTTTTAAAAAAAAATATTTTATTTATTTATTTGACACAGAGAGAGAGATAGGGAGAGCGGGAACACAAGCAGGGGGAGTGGGAGAGGGAGAAGCAGGTTTCCCGCGGAGCAGGGAACCCGATGCGGGGCTTGATCCCAGGACCCTGGGATCATGACCGCAGCCGAAGGCAGATGCTTAATGACTGAGCCACCCAGGCGCCCCTAAATAAATAAATCTTAAAAAGTTAAACTGGGGCTCCTGGGTGGCTCAGTCATTAAGCATCTGCCTTCGGCTGCGGTCATGATCCCAGGGTCCTGGGATCAAGCCCCGCATCGGGTTCCCTGCTCCGCGGGAAACCTGCTTCTCCCTCTCCCACTCCCCCTGCTTGTGTTCCCGCTCTCCCTATCTCTCTCTCTGTGTCAAATAAATAAATAAAATATTTTTTTTTAAAAAAAGGTTTATTTGAGAAAGAGAGCATAAGCGGGGGGAAGGGCAGAGGGCGAGGGAAACAAGCAGACTACTCGCTGATCAGGGAGCCTGACTCCGGCTCGATCCCAGGACTCTGAGATCATGACCTGAGCCAAAATCAAGAGCCAGATGCCCAACCGACTGAGCCACCCAGGCACCTCTTATTTTTTTGAGATTTTTTTAAAACTAATCTGTACATCCAACGTGGGGCTTGAACTCATATCCCTGAGATCAAGAGTCGCATGTTCTTCTGACTGAGCCAGCCAGGAGCCCCTCTAATGCTTAATTTAATAACAGATTGGCTATCCCCAGTGGACATTTTGCTTTTGATCGTAAAATAAAAATTGGGTAAGAAAAAAAACTTAAGGGGGCACCTGGGTGGCTCAGTCATTAAGCATCTGCCTTCAGCTCAGCTCATGATCCCAGCATCCTGGAATCGGACCCCACATCAGGCTCTCTGCTCAGCGGGAAGCCTGCATCTCCCTCTCCCACTCCCCCTGCTTGTGTTCCTGCTCTCACTATCTCTCTCTCTGTCAAACAAATAAAATCTTAAAAAAAAAAGAAAAAAAAACTTAAGGAAAAAAACATTTGACTAAAGAACAAGTAAGAAGTACAGTAGTATTTGGTCAGTATTGTGGGTGTTTCAGTAATCCATTATTATGCAACAAACCATCCCAATACTTAGTGTCTTAAACAATAATTATATAGTTGCCTATGATTCCATGAGGTGTCTAGGCAGGTCTCAGATAGGATGTCTTGTCTATGTTCCATGTAGTGAGGGTTGAGCTCACTTGGGCAACTCTGATTTGGGCTGGAGGATCCAAGATGGCTTCATTCACTTTTGGCCCTTCAGCTGAGTGGCTGAATTGTTGGGGCCTCTTTCTTTATTGTCTTGTCCCTCCTGTGGGCCCCTTTCCCTTTCAAGTCTTTCAATCTCTAGGATATCTCTCTTTCTCTCTCTGAGAGAGAGAGAGAATGGGCTCCCATGATGACCCAGGTCTCCAAGAAGGTAAAAGCAGTGCAAGCTGCAAGGCTCTTAAGGCCTAGGCTCTGAAACTCAAAGAATATCACTTCTGCTACATTCTGTTGGCCGAACTAGTCAAAAGTCCTGCTCAGATCCAAGAGGAAAGAAAATAAGCTTTACCTCTTAAAAGGAAGAGTGGCAAAGTCACCCTGCATAAAGGCATATGGGATGGGAAGCACTGTGACTAACTCTAGAAACAATCTACCACAGCAGATATGAAGAAAAGTTAAGAAATGTAGTGCATACAGCACTCATCTGCTCACAACTAGGCTTGCACTCTGTCTTGACTAGAAGAGGTTTGGGTGAGGTTCCTTTCCCTATGCACTGCTCAGGATTGTATGCAGACTGGCTAAGAGTGGGCAGAAAACTGGTCATGAGGAGTCTAGAAAGAATCCCCCTATAAGCAGAGCATGCTGAGTGGCCCTCCTATGCTCCTAAAATTTGCCTGATATACTACTGTAATAATTTACCCAAAGTGAATGTGAAAGCAAAGACTTCTGGAAGCTGCCCTTGATTTGGTTGAGTTTCAGGAATATTTGTGCTACTTCTTTGGCTTCTTCTGTAGGTAAGGGGAGGCAATACAGGCCTTAGATATCTTGAATTCTACCAGAGACTGAATCTCTTCCACTAGAAAATCCTTCCTTTCCTAGACAAAAATGCTTATATTGTTTAGGGGTTTAACCTATGGAATTCCATCTTCAAGATGAATCAACTCCTTTCTTCTACAAGGCTATGTCCAATACTCTTTTCTCCCCCGAGACTATTTAACTTAACTGCTATATGATTTCTATGTATTTTATTTCTATATGTTAAGGATCTTGAAAGAAAGTGATCTTATAACAAGTGAGGGATTCAGATTTGTGAACAATGAACTCTTAACAATTTTTTTAATGGATTTTAGGTTTTGGGTTTTTTTTTAAGTATTTTATTTATTTATTTATTTATTTGAGAGAGATCACAGAGGGAGAGTGAGAAGGAGAAGCAGACTCCCCACTGGGTAGGGAGACAATGCGGGCTGGGTCCCAGGACCCTGAGACCACAACCCAAGCTGAAGGCAAATGCCAAACTGAGCCACCCAGGCGCCCCTTAACAATTCTATAATATAGGTGTGCCTGGGTGGCTCAGTCAGTTAAGTGTCTGCCTTCAGCTCAGGTCATGATCCCAGGGTCCTGGGATTGAGCCCCAGGTTGTGCTCCCTGCTTACCGGGAAGCCTGCTTCTTTCCCTCCCTCTGCTTATGCTCTCTCTCTCTCTCTGTCAGATAAAAAAAAAAAAATCTGTAATATAGGATTAATGGTATTATCTTACTTCAGGAATGATACATGTGTCTAAACATAGGGGCACACAGGATACATCCCAAACGAAAGTACAAAAGCATCCCTTGTCCACTTTCTTGGCAGTTGCTAGACCCAGGTCCTTAAAGGAAGCCAAAACCCTTAGGTAGAGCAGTCCCCTTGAGTAGTCTTCCATGATCTCGTATCAGCCAACTTTTCCAAGAGTATTTCAGCTGAGGAAGATAGCATTTTTCCTTTTAGTTAAGTATAATCCTGAGAATTAAATATCCAGAGATACTCATATGAGCCCCTATACATTTCTGTGTCCTCTGCTTGAAGGCTCACATATAAAGTCATGCATCTCAACAAACAAACAAACAAACACACAAAGTTACACATCTCAAAAGATGGTGTAAATTGCCTAGTAAGTATATTAACTTGAGAAAAAAGTTTGGAAATGAATATTTTGATCACTACTAAATCTTTGCTGAATAAATGGATGAAACTGCTACATTCCAATACACATACATCTTTCTTCTCAATAGCCCCCA